GTCACAAATGAGCTACGGGGGAGGCCCGAAAAATGTGGTATCTAGGTTAAACGGGTCAATCCATGGGTTGTCGGGTCAACCCGAACCCGACCTATTTTTTAAACGGGTCAGAAATTTGAACTTGGACCTGACCCGTTTCACAAACAGGTTGACTCGAACCCAAATTTTTTTGGGTAGGGTCCGGGTTGGGTTTCAGGTCATGTCAATTTTTGACACCCCTAATGTGTATACTACATGCTAAATTATACTAACACATTAAAATACCTAGAAGATTTTGATAAAGGATTTAAATTTCATGCAAAATTGAAACAAAATGAGTTTAAATAATTTTAAAATGAGCTTAATGGGTTAAACCAATTAAAAGGATTAAAAGGATTTCAAAGTTAAATTTGGCGGTCAAAAGTTAAAACACGATTTAAACTGTCACTAAAGGCTTGAAAGTCAAATTAAGGATTTTTCAAATGGATTTGAATATTTAAAAAAGATTTTTCAAAGGTGGTTGTACATGATTAACCTCACATAAATGTGGGGTGGTCACTAACTTCTCAACATACTTTGTAATATTTTAAATGATTTTTCAAAGGTGGTCCTTATATTTTAAAATTCTTTAACATTTTTTTTTTATTTTTAAAATTTTGAACATTTTAATAATTTTTAAAATGAAAGAAATAGGGTCTAAGGAAAACTTAAATAGATTAACTAGTGTTTCAATACTACTAAACTCTCTTTAAGGGTTCATTAACTATTAATAAACCATTAAAATTAGACTCATGATTTTTGAAGTTAAATCCAATACACTTATAAGGGTGTAATTAAAAAACATAGACTTGGTGTGTGGTTCCATGATGACCAAACTAGTAAAGGGGCTTAGAGTTTCTAGATGTTAGACTTGGCTAAAAATTATCTCATTAAGACTTTGGTAATAAGACATTCATTTGGTTCAGGTATAATGTTCTAATCTAAAGGAAAGAGCAACTCTAATAATTCACTCCAAGTATAGATAATGTGCATAAGTAATAAGGAAGCTTTGAATTTGCTTAGGAAACTAAAGAGCATCAGAGGAAACTTATTAAATGTACTCCTCTTCTTTTAATCTCCATGTTGTAGATTGAAATGAGATCAAGCTTTTAATCTAAGATATAAAGGAATGGGTAATTCTATTAGTTAACAACTAACAACTACTAAGGGATGCTTGGGTAGTCAAGACTTCATGAAAACTATTAGGGTTCCTCAGTTCCTCTTACAACAAGATGTAATTGGTTATATCATTAATTGTTATAAATGAAGTATAACTTTTTACTGGATTTCTGAGCTTCTCTTATCCATAAAATTTAATTATGTAATATATTGGAATTAAGGGATTAATATCCATAGAAGTTAATTAAGTCTAACTATAAGGCAAGTGAATTGATGATTGGGTGAGTCCAATTAAGCTCAATTGCGCCCATTTAATGCTACACTTAAGAAGACTAATTTATGTTTAGGATACTTGTTTGCGATGAGACAAGCATCTAATTTGGAATGTTAGCATCGATTTGGCTAACTAGACCAATTAAGATCATTTGGTTGATGTAGGTTTAGTAGTTGGGCCTTAATTTGGGCTCTTATGGAGCTTTAAGTCATGTTAAAGAGAAATAAAGAGGCAATTAGATACAATTAAATGAAATGGGGTCAAATATACCCATTCGGATTAATTAAGTCATGATTAAGTCAACAAGGATCTAAAAGCATACAAATGGGATTATTGGATCCATCTAAGGTCTAAGAAGTGCATAAAAGGTATAAAATAAATTGAATTGAGTTTGGTTTAAGTCAAATTATGTTTGGCTCTAAGTTTCATCAATTGATCAAACCTATGTGAAGTATGTCCAACCCCCCATATGTTAAGTACACATGGGTCTAGGATAATCTCGAGTGGTTTATCCAAGGAAATGTGTAACTAGGCTCCATAATATAGGATGGGTTTAAGGAGTTATAATCTATTTCAAACAAGTAATATAGTAATATTAAATCAATGAAATGTGATTTATGCCAATATGGTTTGATTTAGGCAAAGAAGCCACTTGAGATTTATTAAATGCCAATTTTGTTAATATGTATTAATTGATCAATTAGATCAAATCAAATCACCTTCCAGTCAAAACTAATTAAATAAGTCCATAGAACATCTTGTATGAATGAATCCAGCTTGACTCTCATGAATAATATGAGGTAAAATTGGCTTGAGTCTAATTGCAACCAGTTTAGCCACAATCTTATAAAACACAATACATAAAGATATAAGTCGGAAGTCCAAAATATTTGAGGCATGAGAACTCTTGGGGATCAGGGTGATAGAAGTAGCTTTAACCCCTTTAGGTAAGTAGCCCGAGGAGAAAAGGTTTTTAACAACATTACAAACTTGAAGCCTAATAATGTGCCAGGATGCCATGTAAAACTCAAATTTAAAGCCATTGAGGCTGGGGGAAGAATCAGAATGTCCAGCAGACACAACAACTTTGATCTCATCATTAGTAATCGGAATCACCAACTCATTGATTAGTTGAGGAGGAATCAAATTCCCCGTAGGAATGCTAAAATCATATGCATTGGTCAGAATGGGAGCATTAGAAAGACCTTCAAAATGATTTATGAGAGCCACAACAATGTCAAAATGAGAGGAGAAATGACCCTGTGGCGTCGAGATTTCTTTTAGTGTGTTTTTATTATTCCTAGCTCTGATTTCGACATAAAGGAAGATGAGGTCATCTTCTCTATCAATCAACCACTTGGTTTTGGCTCTTTCTGAAATCTAAGAAGACCAAGAGGATTGCATCACAGCTAGTTGATCATTTATCTTTTTGAGAGAAATGTTTAAGGATTGGTCTAAAGGACAACTTTGAAGATCAAGAAGACATTTGTTATGTTTATTCTTAACCTCAAGGATAGATTGAAATAGAAAATTGGAGGAGGTCCAAGCTTTGCCTTTAAGGGTCTTTTTTAGATTTTTATAAGCACTGGTAAACGGAAGCAACCAGGTTGCAAGGAGCAGGCCAAGATAAAGCATCAAGAACATCTTCCCCAAAACCATCCATAAGAGCCTAATGATTTTTAAACATGAATCTATTGCATTTTTTAATGATAAAATATATAGTCATGACTAAAGGTGAATGATCAGAACAATTAGGGGGAACCACATTATAATAGGCCTCTAGATAATAATAAAGCAAAGCTGAGTTAACAAAAATTCTATCCATCTTAATATGAATGGGATGATCCACCCTATGGTTCCACCGAGTGTAAAAAGGAACCAATGAATCCAGGTCTTGAACTCCACAGTCATAAATCGTGTTGTAGAGTTTTCCTAATCTACCAAACGAAAGGGGATTACCATCATATTTCTCAGAATCAAATCTACAGCAGTTGAAATCCCCAATAATGACCCAAAGCTGAGTGGAAGCAAGCGGTAAATCCCTTGTGATCCCAAAGGACTCTCTTATCATCCGCACTGTTAGCAACATAAATGACGGAAAGCAAGATAGGGGGAGAGGAGCCAGCGGAGAGAACACCATGAATAATTTGCGAAGAAAGGAAGGAAGGGGTGAAAGAGAAGTAAGAAGGGTCCCATTTCAGCCAAATTCTGCCAGGAGAAGAATGGTTGAAACTGTTGCAGCTCATCTCATTATCAAAAAATAAATGGGAATTAGTAAACAATGAGTCCATTTTAGCTTTTGGCTTCAAGAATACAAATCATCTTTAAATTATGAGTGCCTACAAGGTCTTTGTAAGCTCGCACCTTGTCGGGGCTGTTAAACACCCTCACATTCTAGCTACCGAATGGGGAAAGATATATTAAGACTAGATGGATTTAGCCTTCTTGACTAATTTGGCTCTCAAGTGATTGGAGGATGGAGAAGATTGTTGTTTTTGCGGTAGCTTCACAAGGAGAGGGTAGGCTCCTTGACCGATTGGTCAGTAGAAGGGGGAATGACATCAGAGGAGTTCTCATCTAAGGGAAGGGAGGAGGGTTCATCATGATGAAGATAATCAAATTTATTATATAGTGGGACTTTAGGGGAAAGGAGGAGCTATGGAGGATGGGCTTGTTCAGAGGAGGAAGATTCCTCCGTGGGGAAGTTGAGATTCTGGATTAAGGGATCTCTGCCCACGGTAGAGGAGGAGGGGATAGTGGAGTTGGGAACTTCAATAGAAGGCAGAGGAGAAGGAATAGTAATGATAGGAGTTTGAGAGATAGGGGTTTTATTAGGAGAGGGAGGTTTGGAGGAAGATCCAGGATTGCGAAAACAAGGCTGTCGGCTAGTGCTCCTTCCTCTAGGCCGAGGATGAGGAGGGATGGCTGTTTTTGGGTTTGGGTTAAAAGGGCATGAGGAGAAGGGGTGAACCAAGGAACCACAACCCTCATAGCGCGAGGGCTTTCAATCATAATACGCTTTAAGAGTGAGTTCTTCGTCATCAATTTGCAGAGGGGTTTCATCCGGTAGAGGGGATTCTTCAGAGATCTGAACACATTTCCTAGCAAATGTTAGCCTCATTCTTTTGGAGGTGAGGGAGTCCACAACGAGGGGAATACCAATATTGAAGCTGATAATTTTATAAATTCTGGTCAGGGACCAAAGGGCTAAGGGGAGATCCAATATTTTTATCCAATTAGCAATGGAAGCAGACTCACCCATTTGAGTTTGAATTTCAACGACCATTTCTAAAAACCACATGAATTTGTTTTTAAATTTGTATAAAAAAATTCATAATAACTCATATTTATCTTCATGTAGCCTAATAATTTAAAATCCATTGATTAATATTTTAAACAAAAAAACAATAAACTTTAAACATAATGGCTAAAATCAATAATTTTAAATATTAAGTATCAGCCACATGTCTTTTGACATCTACTTAAATTTTAACTAAGATTTTTTTATTTTTCCAGCTATACAACGAGCGGCCCACCGGTAGGTCCGAATTAAATCCTCCTATGCTTCTCTATCCTCAACCAATGATAACCGGTCCGATATCCACCAGTTCAGTTCAATCGTTCAGGAAAACTCGAAGTAACAGTTAAGAATCAGAAGCTGAAAATAGTTGCGGGCAGCGCACAAAAAATTAAAAAAGAAAAAGAAAAAACGAAGGACAACAGAAAGCAAGCAAAAATCAGCGAAAATGGGCGGCAGATTTCTGATCGTTGCCATACGAATTATACGGGCCAGCGCTCTTATATCCCTCATCCTCCTCTTACTCGCCGCAATATCTCTCATTATTTACCACATCGTGATCGTCAGCAGGGCTTGCCGACGAGCTCTCAGCAGCAATATTAACAGAAGCGATGAGTGCTTCAAAGCCGGCGACGGGCTCTCCCTCGAGGATCTTGAGAAGCTCCCCTGCTTTGAATTCTCGACGCCGGACGACGAGAGGGTAAGCGCCATGAACTGTGCTGTTTGCTTGGAGAGTTTCGAGTTGGGAGATCTCTGCCGGCTGCTGCCGCTTTGCCGGCATAGCTTTCATGCTTATTGTGCGGATTGTTGGCTTGTGAGGAACCCCGTCTGCCCAATTTGCCGGTCAAGCCCCGGCCACCGGCGGGGCGGCGACGAAGTGGGGATGAGTTATGATTAGTTTATGTTGGTTGAATATTCACGCTGCTTTAGGGTAGGTGGAAGCTTGCAGGGAAAGACTTTGGTGGTTATTTATGATTTTATTTATGTACAAGTAAATAAATTTGATTTCTGCGGAGTTTATAAAAAAAGCTGCAATTTATTGAATTAAATCTAGTTTTAATATTATGAAAGTCAATAATGACGGTATGATTTGTAATAATTTTATTGACGGTGAGGCAAATTTAGGGATATTTTTGTAATATTAATAGTTTTGCATTTGCTAACCTCTTTATAATATTTCTTCTGCCTTTTTAATAGAAATATTAGTTTTGTTCTTACAAGTCAACACTTTTATATTATCTTGTGCTATTTCCAAACTTCAGCATCTTTATAAAAAAGCTGCAATTTATTGAATTAAATCTAGTTTTAATATTATGAAAGTCAATAATGATGGTATGATTTGTAATAATTTTATTGATGATGAGGCAAATTTAGGGATATTTTTGTAATATTAATAGTTTTGCATTTGCTAACCCCTTATAATATTTCTTCTGCCTTTTTAATAGAAATATTGGCTCTTAGCAGGCTTCAAAATTTTGTGTTGCCTAGAGTTTACTAATTTTGGGATATAAATGGATGCTTTTTTAGACAATGAGCATATATTAAATAAAAAAGAAGAAGAAGATGGATAGAAAAAGGTATGTTGCTTCATTTTATATTCTCAAAAGGACTTTTCACTTTTGTGAGTATTTTTTTTTTAGATAAAACCCACAGCGGGGCCTACGTGTTAATATCAAAAATATGGTTACAAAAGTCCTTAAAAGGTCCCTCCAGCTCGCTAATGCTCAGAAGAGCTACAAAGAAAAAGAAAAGAAAACCTAAGAGCTGGTGGGTCCTTTTCCTAAGATTACAAAAAGAACATAAATAAAGCCTCGGGCTGTGAAGAAACAGCACCCAAAATTGGAAGATCAGATAATTTTCGTTCCGCTCAGTCTTCCTGCAAAATTGATAAAGAAAATAGAAAAACCAAAAAGGACACGAAAATAAGAGTACCTTGCAGTCATTGAGGATCAGGAAATATAAAGATGAATTATCCCCGCAAAGAACTCTAAAAAAAGATATATAAGCCAGATAATAAATAAAGCATGCAAGAAAATTATTTATATATAAGAAATACCAACTGATACTAATACCCAGAACCAGCTCCAGCAATTTCCAACCACACCAAAACATCACCATTAAAAGCTTCATCCACATATTCCCCAGACCAAAAACCTCATCTCTCATAATATCTCAATTCTTACGCAAATTATCAACCCAGAAAACCTGTAACCTCCAGGTGTTAACCAAAACGAAAGACGGACATAAAAACAGACACCTTTGAGAGTATGTTTACTACTTGACCTCTCATAAATTTATGGAAGAGAACTCATGTTTTGAAAATTTAGTTGATTTTAATACATATTTTACTAATAGTATGGATTGGCTGACCATTCTCAATCAATAAAAAAAAAATAATTCATGCAAATAAAGTGGGCTTGTAGGATTTCAAAGGAGATGAATAATTTTCTCTAATTAGTTTGGATGTTGATCAGTATGATTGAATCATTATGTGGCTTTACTTTTGAGACCTCCAGGATTATTGTACAATTCAAACTAATTTGACTCGAGTGAAAAAGGTAAATATTTGAAATTTTATATTTTGAACCAATTTGCATGTGTTTGGGAGTATTTTAAGTGCATGAAAAATGTTGCATGTGTTCTAAAATGAGTCCAAAGGGTCTAAAGTGAATTTTAATAAAATATAAAAAATGTTACTTTTTGAGCGCAACAATGTTGGGTGTCTGAATGCCTTGCCGCTCCAACAACGCCAATGTGTCAAATAGTGACATTGCCCGCTCTAAGTTCTGGAATTTAAAACTCTGAACTAGTATCGCAGTGCTAGATGGTAGAGCCACAACACTAGGTCACTAATTACACATTAAAAAATATTTCAAATTAACTATTCCACTCATTCGAACATCACACCAACCAAAGTAAGAGATAGTTTTTAGTGAGAGAAAGTCTATTTTGAGCCACATAGAGTCATTTTTAACCATCAGACTAGCTGGAAAAGTTATCTTCATCAATGTAAGTTAAATTTTGCCTATCTCAATTTTCAATATTAATTTGATGTTTTTAAGATTCTTTTTTAATAAAATTGATATTTTTGTTACGGAAAAATAAGGATAACTTTTTATTGGTAGAACTTTCACTTTCTAACTTTTATTTGTTAGAGAGACTGAGATTCTGAACACGTTAAATATTTTCTAGAAAATTTTCACTTAGTGTTTTGAAATTTATACGATTTTTATTAAAAATAAAATAATTTGGACTCTAAAAAATAGTATCGTAGTATGATTAAAGTTTGAAAAATGGTGTTTTATACAATCTCCAATAATTTAGTTATAATACTTTGAAACTATGAATTTTTGCTAAGTAGTGTTTATGTTGCCTACCGTTGAGGCTCTTTTATATATTTTAAATTTAGCCTTATACTACTTTAATTAATAAAATGCATTATATATATAAGAAATGTGAGATGATTTGATGCGATGTAATGTTATGTTAGAGTCAGTAGCTAGGCTACCGAGGAGAGATTCTATTATGCTGGAGCCAGTGGGCTACGAGGTGGCATTATGTTATGTCGGAGCTTATGGGCTACAAGGTGGGATCCTGTTATGGTAGAGCTAATGTACTATTGAGGTTGGATTCTTCTATGCTGGAGCCAGCAAGCTATTGAGGTACGATTCTGTTATGCCAAAGGTAGGAGGCTAACAATGTGGGATTCTATTACGCTAGAGCTAGTTTCCTACCTAGGTTGGATTCTATTATATCGGAGCTAGTGGGACACTGAGATGAGATTTTGTTATTTCAAAATCAGTGGGCTATCAAGGTGGGATTCTATTATATCAGAGCCAGTGAGCTACCGAGGTGGGAAGTTGTTAATGAGCATATATAAAATTTGGGCTTGAAATCCATTATAATAATCACTATGAAATATTTATTTTTGATTCAAACACTTTTAAATGTTTACATGAAGTTAAGTTCCAAAGTTTATTTCAGTTTTAGTTTTAGCTTCCCGTAAAAATTTCAATAATTATTTTAGCATTTTCAATTTTTATTGGTTTGGGTTATTGATTCTATTTTAGGCTATGATAGCCTACTGAGCCATGTTAGCTCATTCATACTTTTTCTTTCATTTTTTAGGCCAAGGAAGAAGGTAAAGAGTGAGTTGAGTTGCTTTGGATTTTGGGCTTAGATTTGTGTTGTATGTGTGCCTTGTGATTTGGTTAGTTTTATGTTGTAGGCTTTGCTTTTATTTGGTAATATTATCTATTGTGAAGCATTATTGTAGTACCTCAGATTTTATATGTATTTCTGGAAGATATATAAAAATCAATTTTGAGATTAAATAGTCTTTCAATTTATATTGCATTTAATAGTGGCTCTGGGTAGTATATAAATTAGATATTTTTTTTAGTATTTCTCTAAATGGATCTTAGGTCAGTCTTGTCATAATTCGGCACGGTATGATTGGTGATATATCAGGTTATATCAAGTTGGGTTGTGACATTAGTGCTAGCTTGAAAAACTATTAGGATAAGTGATTAAAATTATATATGTTATTTTATACCTAATATGATCTCGATTGTTGCTTTCGTCGCTTGATCAATCATTTTTTCCTTTGGCTTCTGTTATTTGTAGCCATATAATATGCCAAGTTATTTGTTTTTGAAATTATTTATTCCTTCCAAGTTTAATATCTGAGGATGGTATTGATATCTTAATGTAATTAGTTTATTATCCTTATTTGAGCTTGAGCTTTGCAAGGTTAAATAATTCAGACTTTTATTTATTTTTAAAATTATAATACCATGGCATAGTTTTCTTCTAGGAGTTTATTTTATAAATTAGGCTATTACTATCATCTGTTTGGTATTTATTTGCTAGATAGAGATTATATTACACTTAAATGTAGTAGTAGGATATTTTTTTTATTGTATAATTATTCATTTAACTTCTTGTTTGTTTGATGAGTGCTATTATTCATCATGGGATATTGTAATGGTGGCTAGCTAACTTGGGTAGAATGTAGCTTTGTTTGTTGCTATGATTGATGGTGGTTGGTGTTTATGTATTAAATTCTTATGGTCAAACACATATAATGGACTTATTCATATGTTAACATGGGTTGGATGATTTTATATTCTTGGGAATTTAGGTTTTGATGTTATTCTTATTTTTAGTCTTTGGTCTTCTTAGTCATTAGATATAGTTTGATTTGGTCACCAACTAAGGTTTTTTGTTTCAAAACTATATAAATTTTGATTCTTCAATTGAAATGCCAATTGAAGATACATAAGAGGGCTATCGTCGATTGATGATAAGTTTAATCTATGTATATTTTTTCCTTTATTAATACAATCTTATTTCTAATGTTTAAAAACAACATTTTTGTTATTATCTCAATTTTCCTTTTTATACAACATTTCACATATATTTATATGCATCAATTTATAGTTTATATCAATATATTATTAGCTTTATATGTACTTATGTACTTAATTATTTGAAGAAATATTTTTAGGTTTTTTAGGTTTATGCGTACACATATATTTGCCTAAATCAAGATGTTTAAATCAATATGAGAATTTCAGCAGGGTTTACCTATTCACTAAAGGATAACAATCTCAAATAACTTATAATAGCGCTCTTCAATTGTTGTAATTTCAAGGGTTTAATCATGTCCTTACATTTGGTCAAATAGTGATGATAGTATGATAAGTGCCTTTAGTTTCTCATTAAATCTTCTCAGAAAGTCTCTTCTAATTCTCTAGAGATACTTAATTTGAAATACTCGCTCCATCTAGAGGATTCCTCCCCAGGCACCCTTAGTAGAGCCCCCTCAACTTCAATAAGATTTAAATTGATCTTGGGGATCATCCAATCTAGCAACTCAATAAGTTACATGGAGATTCTAAGAAGCAAACAGACATATTAATAACATCATTTAAAATTGCAACCAATTTTTACCAAAATATGTTCCATTGTGCCCCAAGTCTATCACAACTATCATATAATGACTAAAACCTCAACACTAAAGCAATAGTTGTATCATCACATTAATAACTACAATTAATGTTGCTAAAACAACTTATCTAACTGAATTTCACACCGAAAACCTTATAAGTCCTAGGAAATGATCAAATCTCAAGGTTAAAGCAATTATAGGGTTTATAAAGTTTTATTAATTAAATCATCAGTCCTATAAAAACTCC